TGAGGCTGCAGTTCTTAATCTTCATCATTGACACTGGCCCCCCAGAAGTGACCACTGATGCTGGTCCCCATGAGTGACCACTGATAACTAATCTCCCATTAGTGAACTCTGAAGCAGCCCCCAGGAGTGACCACTGAAGCTGGTCTCCATGAGTGACCACTGAAGCTGAGCCCTTATGAGTGACCACTGAAGCTGGTCCACCACTAGTGACCACTGACACTGGTCCCCACGACTGACCACTGACGCTGGTCCCCAGGAGTGACCACTAAAGCTAGCCCCCCAGGAGTGACCACTGACGCTGGTCCCCATGAGTGACCACTGATAACTATTCTCCCATTAGTGACCTCTGAAGCTGGCCCCAGGAGTGACCACTAAAGCTGGGCCTTATGAGTGACCACTGAAGCTGGTTCACCACTAGTGACCACTGAAGCTGGTCCCCAGGAGTGACCACTGAAGCTGGCCCCCCCAGGAGTGACCACTGATGCTGGTTCCCCAGGAGTGACCACTGAAACAGCCCCCAGGAGTGACCACTGACGCTGGTCCCCCAGGAGTGACCACTGACTCTGGCCCCCCAGGAGTGACCACTGACGCTGGCCCCCCAGGAGTGACCACTGATGCTGGCCCCCCAGGAGTGACCACTGAAGCAGCCCCCAGGAGTGACCACTGACGCTGGCCCCCCAGGAGTGACCTGCTGGTGTCTGAAACGTTAGTGGTGCAACTTCCCCCATCAGCATCACACGTGCCACCACAGCACAAACATGACGGACACTGGACAACAGCATGAAGTCCACGCCACCCATCTGTCATTCTCAGCAGCCCACGGGCAGCGCTGCTGCGTGGCTGGTGACAGCAGTGTTGGTGGAAACATGGTCAGCCCTCGTGAAACGTGTGGAGCAGACAAGCCACTCTTGAGCCAAACCACCTCTGTTTTCAGTCTGTTCTCGAAAGAACAACCGCGGGCAGAGGTGAACATCTTTCATCTAAAAATAAACAGCCTGGCAATCATTACTTCAAGGTAAACTCTATATACATGGGGCGGGGCAGAAATCAGCATCACCAGTTAAAGAGTAATAGATCCTTTCCCACTGTACAAATATCGCCTTGATCAAAATTTGGAGCATAAGGGAACGTGAAACAGCACGACTGCTATGGGAAGCAGGCAGCGCTCCCACAGAAAGGTGAGAACAGAAGCACCATTTGATCCAGAGATCTCATTACTAGGTACATATCCCCAAAAAGAACAGCTCTCCGTGAGCAGACAGGCGCACACTCATGCCTGCTGCCTGTTTCTCAATAGCGAAGAGTTGAAAACAGTCCCTGTGTCTATCAACACAAGAATGGCTACAGAAACTAAGGGACATCACACAATGGCGCACTATGCATCACTACAAAATGATCAAGGATGGGTGAGTTCGTGAACATCACTCAATCTAGAACAAACTATGCTGAGTGATATAAGCCAGTCACAAAAATATAATTACAGTATAAGGCAACTATTACTAAAAGCACAAGGAAATCAAAAGATGAAGTCCATTAGAAAAATCTGCTGTCAGGGACATCTCCAGAGTCCTGAAGAGCAACAATGTCAGTCTAGAGACTAGGGTGTGCCTGACACAGGCCATGGTCTTCGCAAGTATTTGGTATGCATCAGAGTGCTGGACAATGACTAAGAACGACAGAAGAATTGATGTCTTTAAATGTGATGCTGGAGAAGAGTGTTAACATACCATGGACTGCCAAGAGAACTAATAGGTCTTTCCTAGAGAGGATGAAACCAACATGCTCCTTGGATGCAAGGATTTTGAGGCTCCACCTCACATACTTTGGGTAAGTGGCCAAGAGGGACCAGTCCTTGGAGAAGGGCATCATGCTTTGAAGGGTGAAGGGACAGCACGGGAGAGGAAGACCATGGATGAGATGGAAAGACAGAGTAACTGGAGTAATGGGGACAGGCGTGCTGGATCAGAGAGACTGGCTCAGGACAGACAGAGTCCAGAGAGCTATTGTACATAGAGTCTCTATGAGTCACAGTCAACTTGACAGCACATGTTGTTGTTGTTATGTGCTGCTGAGTCGCTTGCGACTCATAACAACTGCAAAAAGGTAAGGAAAGGATTACACACAGACTCCGTCCTGGTGGCTAATGGACGGGAAAGGAGGGTGGAGAGAGTGAAAAGTATTAAAAAACTGGATGAAGGGAAAAACAATACACATTTAGCACTTGATCCTTGTTGCTGTGGTCCATCGAGTCGGAACCAACCCACAGCTGACCCTCCAGCGGGTTTTCAGGGACAGTTAATTGCACGAGAAGAGACTGCCCATCCTTCTCCCACAGAGCAGCTGGTGGCCTCGAACCATGTGCCTTCGGGATTGCTGCGCAGCTTCTTGCCACTAATTAACACTAATCAGCAGCAATTAATGTCATAAAACAAAATACCTAAATAGCTGTATGGAAGCCCAATGTGATTTGTAAATCTGCACTCAAAATAAATGAATACTTTAAAATGTTAAATCATCTTATCCACAAAAAATTACATACAATTCCCTGTGTGGTATCCTCATTACACGTCCCCTCCAAGCTCTAAGGCTTTGCTGTGCTCACGAAATAGCAAATTAAGTTCTGAGGATAGGTCCAGAGCTGGTGAAGCATCTACCGCAGCCTCTGCATCCAGCTTACCTATTTCTGAGAGAAACAGCTGGTGAGCAACATCATTTTGAAGTTTTTAAAACCCAAAACAATGTGGCTAATTTCCATAACCATGGAAGGACCAGGCCAAGAGAAACACAGAATTCCTCCCAAACAAGAGCCCCCTCTCTTCTAAACAATAAACACAGCATGAACAATGCTGTGTGCACTAAGAAAGCGCCTTTCAGAGACAAGCCCTGCGAAACTTCTTGTAAACTTGGCATTGAAGGCAGGTCCTTGTTCCTATGGTAAATAATACCCCCCCACGCCACCAGTAAGTTTATAAATTCCCACCCACTCATCATGCCCTGTCCCCTTTGTGGTTTGAAGACTGGACGAGTCGGACTGTGTTCCCAGCCTTAAGCTTGTGTCGTCGGTGATAATGTGTTGAGGGAAACAGTAAGTCTACAGAGATGGCGACACAGAAGGGCAGGAGGCAGCAAGCCAGTCCAGGGCCCCAGGTGGCAACCCGCAATCCTACTCCGCACGCTGAGATCTCACCACTTTCTCAGGGGAGCTCTGGTGGCCTAGTGGCAAGGAGCTGCAACCACAATCCCAGAGGCGCACGGTTCGAATCCACCAGATGCTCTGCCGGGGAAGGAGGGACAATCTCCTCCTGTACCAGTCAGATCTGATTTGACAGTACACGCACACAAAAATTAAAAAAAAAAAAATCTCACCACTTTCAAATTAAAATAATACTAAGGGGCTGGAGGGAATCACAGGACTAGGACAAGT